CTTACTAGAGGACTTCGTTGGCGCATCACGAACCAACCACGACTCTCTCTAAGTACCATCGCAGCGTGTTGCTTTGAGGACCGAGAGAGTCATAGTTACTCCCACACAATCCTTTTTGTATTCTTCTATTTTGATTGGATCCGGATCGTCACAGTTTTTAAGTATGAAATCTTCTTTGAGATCTTCAAACTTATATTCCCTGTCTACGTCATAAATTATAAGAGTAGGATTTATTTTCCTTGGCTCCTCTACTTTCAATTTCTTTGTTGTTAGGTTTATTCTTTTCACAAAGTCCCCGTCTCTTTCATCCACCTCCACCACTACTCCTTTTCCTCTCATTTGCCTTATTGCCTTTATCCTCAGCCTTTTATTTGTACTTGTCAGTTCCTTTATAACCTCCTTCTTTATTTCACTATTCGTTCTCGCATCTTCGTCTTCTTTTATAGGTTTAATTAGTACTACTTTGTGCGTAGTATCTGACCTTCTTTCTTTTTCTTTTACAGTACCTGTAGCAGTCCTTGGAGTTCCTGCCGTAACATTAGCATAGGAGAGTCCTTTAGGCCTCAAGTCAGCAACAGCTTGGTAAGCAGCTTTCCATTTTTCTTTTTCTAAAACTACATTATGTAGTCTATTTTCTAGTACTGCCCATTTGGACAATATGTATTTTATTGCAGATTTTGTTATTTTGTTGTTATCATTAAACATGAATGTCTCGAGCTGTTCCCTTGTCTCCATCATCTCCTCTACTTCATTTACTCCTGTGCTCTGTTCTAATCTTTCATATCCATCCTCCTCATTTTCAAAATCACTCAGCCTTGTGTTCCCTTCATGCGTCTCTTCAGTGTCTTTTTGGGTACTACCCGAAGGAGGTGATGATCTACTTACAGATCCCCTTCGCGCAAACAGCAATTCTCTTTCTCTCTCTTTTTCGGCGTTCAGAGTTTCGGTTACTTTCGTGCCAACATTAGTCGTTACCGAAGTATCAGCCAAGTTTTTGTGTTTTTGTTTGAGTTTTGTGCTTTCCATGTATATCCCACGAGTATGGCAAAAAAAAAATGTCCACTCAGGCAGAGCCTCCATCACCTGGGTAAAGTGACTTATATACCACAGAGGTTGCGCCAGGTGCCCCTGGCGGATCGTTTGCGGTCGCGCAACTTAACCTCCCCGCGGCCATGCAGCCCCAGACACGATGCCTCCCATCCTGGCTTGGGAGGAACCTCGGGGCCCCGGGTGCGTCATGCCCGTACTACTGTCGAATCGTCAGTAGCCCCCTGGGGAAAGTAGATAGGGACAGATGTCCGTGGTTGATTTAACGTGCGGTACCTGCTCAGAGAGCTTAATCACACGACCCCCATGGGTGCGGAATTGGGATAAGCCCAATCAGCTTGTTCCAGCAGGCCAGGAACTACCAGTAGCGCCTCCGAGTTTGTAGGACTCTTCGGCAACCCACCGGTTGGGGCGAGCTCCTATCCAACGCTCTACCAGCTGTGCAAGACTGGTGCCCGAGCAGATACACTGCTCACCCGTCGAGGCCCGAGAGCCCCTAACCAGCATGCGGCTTCAACCACTACCCCCACGAGTCCGACCTCAATTGCCGGGACGAGGGACGAATCCCCCTAGGCAACCCGACTCCCGTGGTACCAGTCAAGATCACTGGTTGGATCTTCGTGGCCGAGACCACTCCCAGCTTTCGGAGGCCTACACCTCCCAGGCAGTGGTCGGCCTATGTTCCTCGGGAACATCGGCTTCTCTTATCCTCCTTTCAGCATCGCCCTCCTTCTCTGAAATACAATCTTCGCATACACACTGTTCACGAACGCGCTGCGAGAGAAAGGATCGCGCTGCACCAAAGGATGAGTCACCTTTTTGTATTAAACTGACTTTAATATTATAAAACAATTAAAAACGAACACTTCAACAAACTTTTACAATTTTACTTAATTTACAGAGAAAATCGGAATCAAAATCAAAGTGCGGAATAAGCGGCGGTTGTCAACGAATTTTAGCGGTTTTACAAATCTGCGGTTGCGTTATGCGGTTCACGGCGGAAAAGCGATAAGGCCCGGATTTCGGGTGCGAGCTCTCTTTTATGGGTTTCCGAAGAAAACCCACTTTTTCGGGAAGCGCCAATTATTGCGAGCAATTTTAAGTGTGCTCGAGGTGACTCGAGGGCACAGCTCATTATTGGCCGCTGTCAAAATTAACGGAAGACGGCTGGCAGAAAGCATGCGCGCGCGGGTGATCGCGATAATTATTGGTGAAAAGAGGCGCCCGTGGTAAGCCGCGCATGCTCACTGAAAATAATTATTCGGCGGAACGGTTGTGATACCGTTAATTGTTGATATTTTGAGGAATGTTTTTTTGAGACAGATTGATTTATGTCGCTGTGTTTCTCCGCGAAAAACATACAAAAAACGATTTGCTGTAAATATCGATTATTCTAGAATCTTATAAAATATTATTCGAACAGAATATTTTATTTTATTCCACGGCTAGTATTTTCTGATGCGTTTTGAACATTCCCGCCCGCCTTGTCGCGCAGTGACAACATGTGTGGAATTTCGGCCGCGGAATCTCGAGTCGATAGTGATCGATGGTGGGGTAGACGCGCAGGCGCGGAGAAATACACGTGATGATCGCGTGGTAAGTGAATCGATCAGCTGATACAATGAACATGTGGTGATCAGCTGAGGCAATGAAACCGCGTGTTTGGTGAGTTGTGTAGTGCAGTGCGATGACGGAACAATTATCAGTGCGGTGATGGATCAAATGTAAGTGCGGTGATGGATGAAAAAAAATGAGATGTGACAAGTGATACAATGCATGAGGTGAAAAGTGTCGCGAGATGAATTACGTGCCGGCGGACGACGTGTCCGCGTTAGTCATGCCAGGAATACGATCCGCGCCCGGAAGCATGACTAATTTAACGAGCGGGCGCACGAATTCGGATGTGGCGGTGCGGACCGAAACCACGCGGACGATACCGTCGTCCCCGGGATGCAGTATCGTGATCCGTGCGAGAGGCCATCGAGTCGGAGGGGTGAGCTCCGAACGAATGAGACAGAGGTCCCCCACGTGAGGTGCGGCCTCGGCCTTGACCCATTTGGTGCGGGGGTTAAGGCCGTGCACGTACTCCGCTGACCAACGCTGCCAAAAATGGTCTCGCATCAATTGGACATGACGCCAGCGTGACAGAGTGGATGCTGGTTGACCAGTCAACGATGGCTCAGGTACGGCTAATAGCGGCGCCCCGATGAGGAAGTGGCCTGGTGTGAGCGCCGAAGTGTCGTCCGGATCGTCTGATAAAGCCTGCAACGGACGAGAATTAAGACACGCCTCGATTTGCGTGAGGAGTGTGCTAAGTTCCTCATATGTGAGGGTGGTTTCGCCGATTACTCGACGGAGGTGGAATTTTGTGGATTTTACGGCAGCCTCCCACAGACTACCGAAGTGAGGGGCCGCTGGCGGATTAAAGTGCCAGCGGATCCCTTGATTGTTGGCGGCGCGAGCGATGTGATGGCCCTCGGAAGATGACGCCTTGAAGAGCTCGCGCAGGGTGCGATCGGCGCCGACGAACGTCGTGCCGCAGTCGCTGTACACGTCCGTACACAGGCCTCTGCGGGAGACGAAGCGGCGTAAGGCGGCGATGAAGGCCTCGGAACTGTAGTCCGAGACGACCTCGAGATGGATAGCCTTCGACCAAAAGCATACGAAGACAGCTATGTATCCTCTCTGTGAGCGGTGTCCGCGCCCCTTGCTGGTCCGGATGAAGATGGGTCCCGCGTAGTCCAGGCCAGTGCTCAGGAATGGCCGAGTCGGCGTCACTCGGTCACGCGGAAGGTTGCCCATTGGAGGCTGTGGAGTGGCCGCTCGCCAGCGAGTGCAAGTGACGCACCGATGAAGTTGCTGCTTAATGACGGTCCTTCCTCGTGGCACCCAGAATCGAAGACGAAGCAAGCCGAGAGTCATCTGGACGCCGCCGTGTAGAGACCGACGATGGCAGGACTCGATGAGCAGTCGCGTCATCCAGGAGGCCGGCGGAACGATCACCGGGTGCTTCTCGTAGGGCAGCAGAGCGTGTTTGAGGCGCCCTCCTACGCGCAGTACACCTTGGTCGTCGAGGATTGGACTGAGTTTGATCAGTGAACTGCGTGGTGGACCGGGGCGTCCCGCGGTGGCAGCGGCTACCTCGTCCGGGAAGTGGAGTGCCTGCACAATTCGAAGCCACTGAAGTAGGGCGGCGTCCAGCTCGTCAGGATGCAGCGGACGACCAAGTGTGACCTCTCGGCTCGCCACGTTGAGCCATCGACGACACCAGGCCGTAACGCGCAGCAGCCGATGGAGTGTGGAGAACCGAAGGAGAAGATCCGGTTCAACGATGACGGCACCTTTGGTCATCAGGCTGGTGGTGCGTTGTTCCGGAAGGTCGTCCTCTGCGATGTCGACCTCTGAGCTGGGCCACGCTGTCTCGTCCAATGCCAACCAGGTAGGTCCAGTCCACCATAGCGTGTGATTGACTAACTCTTCCGGATTAATTCCTCGTGATGCGCAATCTGCAGGATTGTCCTTCCCGGCCACGTGTCTCCACTGAGCGTCCGGGAGCTGAGTCTGGATGTGAGCTACCCGGTTGGCGACGAACGTTTTCCAGCGAGCGGCGTGTCCCTGGATCCAATGGAGAGTGACCTTGGAATCAGACCACAGGTGCACTGGAGTTGATGTCAAGCCGAGGGTGTTTCGGATATGCAACGTCAACGTGGTGAGTAGCACAGCAGCGCACAGTTCAAGACGAGGCAACGAAACTGGCTTGACGGGTGCGACCTTAGATTTCGCCATGATTAAATTGATTGTGATTTGTTCCTTTCCAGAGTTGCGGATGTAAACGGCGGCAGCATATCCTCGCTCTGATGCATCTGCGAAGCCGTGGATCTGCAACGTGGAGTAATCGCTGTCGGTGCTGAGCCAGCGATTCACCCATATGTTGCTGAGCAGAGGTAGCTGGTTCAGCAGCTGTTGCCAACGTTTGACGTCCTTGGCAGGTAGTGGAGTGTCCCAGTCGAGTTGCTGAAGCCAGGTGGTCTGGATCAGGATCTTCGCCCGAATCACGACAGGTGCGAGCCAGCCCATCGGGTCAAACAGCCGTGCAGTCTCTGCGAGGACTCGTCGCTTCGTGAACTCGCTGACTACACGAGGATGTATGGCGAAAGCAAACCGGTCTTCTTGAGGATGCCATCGCAGACCCAAGGTCGAATGGCTCTCGTCGTCCCAGGAATGTGGTCCTTGCTGCAGCCGATGCTCCTGTGGGACTCCGCTGAGGACGTCCGGATTGTTTGAAGCCCACTTCCTCAGCAAAAATCCGCCCGCCATGCAGAGGTTGCGCAGCTCTGTCTGGAGGTTGACGGCATCGCCGAGGTCGTCCGCTCCGGTGACTACGTCGTCGACGTAGCAATCTCGCCGAAGTGCTGTGGCCCTTTGAGGAAACTGCGCCCCCTCGTCCGCACAGAGTTGTCGCAGCGTTCGGATGGCCAGGAACGGTGCACAAGCCATGCCGTAGGTCACCGTCAGCAGCTCGTACTCCTGGATCTCGTTCGTTCTGTTATGACGCCACAGTACTGTTTGAAGACTGCAGTCCTCAGGATGTACGAGAATTTGGCTGTACATCTTCTCGATGTCTGTGACGAAGACATACCGGTGCCAACGCCATCGCAGCAGTACGTCGGTGAGAGCGGGCAGTAAATTCGCCCCAGTCAGCAGATGCGAATTCAGCGAGGTCCCGGTTCGTGTCCGTTGAGAGCCGTTGAACACGACTCGGAGCTTCGTCGTCGTGCTCGACTCATTCAGGACCCCGTGATGCGGTAAGTAGCATCTGATGTCCTCAGCTGTTGTTGCGATATTTACCCTCTTCATGTGTTGCAGGTCCTCGTATTCCTGCATGAAGCTGCGATAAAGGTCGCCGAATCGAAAGTCTCGGCTGCCCTTGGACTCCATGGCCTTCAGGAGGTGCTCCGCTGGGCGGCGAGTGTCTTGAAGAGTCGTCGGCGGTGATGCGAGAGGCAGTCTCACCATGTATCTTCCGGTGGGCGTGCGTGTGACGGTGCGCACGTAAAGCTCCTCGCACTTGGTTTCGTCAGGAGTGAGTGGAGCCTGAGATATTGGCTCGCTCTCCTGCTCCCAAAAGCGGCGAACGAGGTCGGCGAGGTCATGATCGGCGGTGCATCGGAATGTGCGGCGATGTCCGTTGACTGAAGCGGCGTCGTATCCGCCAGAGAGGATCCACCCCAGGTTTGTTTGCTGAGCGATCGGCATCCTCGAATCTCCCTTGCGGAGGCCTTCCTCGAGAATCAAGGAATAAACCTAGGCTCCTAGGAGTAACTCAGCTGGGTCGTCGTCCAAAAAACGAGGATCGGCCAGCTGGAGTCCTTTGAGATGAGGCCAGCTGCGTTCTCCTCGTGAGACTGATCCTTGCTGCAGTGATATGCGAGGCAGCACAAAGGCTACCACGCTGAGCTCGGCGTTGGTCACGTCTGATGTTACGTGCAGCGTTACTTTGCCTCGAGCGGATCCTGAGCGGGTCCCTCCGATGCCGAAGATCGAGAGATCCGTCGAAACTCGAGGAAGGCGAAGGCGTTGTGCCAAGGTCTCTAAAATGATCGACACCTCAGAGCATTGGTCGATCAGAGCGCGTACGGCGTGTGGTGAACCGTACCGATCGGCGATGTTCACTCGAGCTGTTGCCAGAAGAACGGCCTTGTGATCCTGATGTTGCAGAGTCGTGGTCAGTGTGGTGGCGCGTGTGGTGGCCTCAGCTGATAGTGAAGACGTCGGTGCTCCGTGCAACATCGTGTGGTGTCGTGCGTCGCATGTGAGGCAGTTCTTCTTTGACTGGCAGCGAGATAAAAAGTGGTTGTTTAAGCAATTGTAGCAGCGCTTGCTTGTCTCTATGAATGCCTTACGCTCGTTGACCGTCTTGGCCTTGAAGTCTCGGCAGGCCATCAAAGTGTGGTTCTCGCGACACAGTGCACAGTGCGGCGGTTCAGATCCTTGGTGTTTCGTGACGTGTGCCTTGGCGATCCGTGGAGCATTCCCGGACGGTTTGCTGACGCCCTTCGGTCGTGCGGCATTAAGCGTCAGGATCCGCCGACTGATAAAGTCAACGAGTGCCTCGTTCTGTGCTGGCTCTGATGAGTCTGAAATGGACGACTCCCACTCCAGACGTGTGCGTGCATCAAAAAGCTCAGTCACCAGGAAGTTGAAGAGGTCCATCCCGTGGGAGTTTATTGGACGCCCGATGCTCTCCTGACCGTTGACGGTGGCAGTAACGGCGTTGTGGATGCGTCTCAACTCCTCTGCGGTATCTCCCTTCATCTTTGGCACGGCGATGAACGTGGCAAAGTTGAAGCGGATCAATTCTTTTTTATTGTTGTAGTGCTTGTCCAGTATCGCCCAAGCACGCTCATAATTGTCGCTAGTGACGGGTAACGACTTTATTAATTTTTCAGCCGGTCCCGTCAGATATGAGCGGAGGTGATGGAAGCGCTCGATGTTGGAGATCGCGTTGCCACTCACGACGGAGAGAAAGAGATCCCGGAACGACGGCCAATCAGCGTAAGCACCCGAGAATGGCGGTACCTTGATGCGCGGCAGTGACGACCGTGGCGTGACGTCGGCAGAAGGAGCTACGTTCGGTGCACGAAAGTGTTCGGCGTAGCCATCAAGTATGCTTCGCTGACTTACGTATAGATTTTCTGTATCTGCATGAAAATCTGATTTAAAATAATCGCTCTCACTGAATTTGTCTTTCAGGGCCGCTCGGATAAGGTCGTGCTGCGTCTCAAACTTTGTCCACAGCTGATCCAGAATTCTGGTGCGTGTGGCGATAGCACTGGTGGTGATATTGGCGCTGCCCAGCTTCTTCAAGTACTCTACGGAGCGTGAGATTCGGATTTGAATCTAACGCTGACAATCGACCAGCGTGGACACATCCATGACGGCTGCACACCCAGACGTTCACACTTTCACTCACACGAGAAGTCACGCTCGCGAACTTGCGGTTGCCGGTGCGACGGATCCGGCTCGAAGGACCAGAAATATGTTCACGAACGCGCTGCGAGAAAAAGGATCGCGCTGCACCAAAGGATGAGTCACCTTTTTGTATTAAACTGACTTTAATATTATAAAACAATTAAGAACGAACACTTCAACAAACTTTTACAATTTTACTTAATTTACAGAGAAAATCGGAATCAAAATCAAAGTGCGGAATAAGCGGCGGTTGTCAACGAATTTTAGCGGTTTTACAAATCTGCGGTTGCGTTATGCGGTTCACGGCGGAAAAGCGATAAGGCCCGGATTTCGGGTGCGAGCTCTCTTTTATGGGTTTCCGAAGAAAACCCACTTTTTCGGGAAGCGCCAATTATTGCGAGCAATTTTAAGTGTGCTCGAGGTGACTCGAGGGCACAGCTCATTATTGGCCGCTGTCAAAATTAACGGAAGACGGCTGGCAGAAAGCATGCGCGCGCGGGTGATCGCGATAATTATTGGTGAAAAGAGGCGCCCGTGGTAAGCCGCGCATGCTCACTGAAAATAATTATTCGGCGGAACGGTTGTGATATCGTTAATTGTTAATATTTTGAGGAATGTTTTTTTGAGACAGATTGATTTATGTCGCTGTGTTTCTCCGCGAAAAACATACAAAAAACGATTTGCTGTAAATATCGATTATTCTAGAATCTTATAAAATATTATTCGAACAGAATAATTTATTTTATTCCACGGCTAGTATTTTCTGATGCGTTTTGAACACACACCAACACTTTCATACCTTTCCTTACATTCCAACATGCGACTCACATCCACACTGCCATTCTCTCGCACAATCACACCCCACTCACTCAGGTTCCGCACATCACCATACATTGGACACTCAACCAACACATGCTTCCAATTTTCTCTCTCCGCTCCGCACGCACAGCTCTCACTCTCAGACAGACCACGCTTATACATGAATTCATTCAAACTTCCATGCCCTGTCAGAATATAGCCCAGGCTCAAGCTAGGCTCGAACTCTCGGCACTCACCCGCAAACCTTACATTCTTTATAAATTCATACGTCACTCTTCCTTTCTCGCACTCATTCCATCTATTCTGCCACATCTCATACAGCCTTTCACTCACCAATTCCATACATCCTTCCACACCTCTCTCACGCAAGTCACTATTATTCACTACATCATACTCACTCATACTAATTCCCTTTCTCACCTTATACAACACTCCTCTTCTCACGCACTCCAGGTCCCACGGCAAGCCACCCATAAGGACTTGCATGGCCGCCGTGGAGACCGTTCTACATACATTCAGACACGCACTCAACACCACTCGCTGACACCTATTTATGAGCTCCCTCGCATATTCAAATCTCATCACTCCATACCATACACTCGCTCCATACATCACACACGACATGAACAGACCTTTATACAACACAGTCACAGCTTTCTTTCGCAAACCCCACTCACTTCTCAACACGCGTCTTAATTTTCCCACCACATTCATACATTTCTTTCTCAGACACTCCAGATGCAACCTGTAGTTCATCCTTTCACTCACACAAACACCCAGATATTTCACGCTCCTCGCATACCTCACGCATCTATCATTCACTCGTACATTGGGAGGCCTCGTCCCAGCCATACTACCTTTCATCAACATCATCACAGTCTTGTTCTCAGACACACTCACACCTACTTTCACTCCCCATTCGTACACCATTCTCATCCACTCCGTACCCTTTCTCTCCAACTCCGCTCGGCTCTGTCCTTCCACGACCAACAACAAGTCATCCGCGTACGCAACCACTTTACATTCACTCTCACGCAGCCGCCACAACAGTTCATCCATCATTAGGTTCCATATAAATGGACCACAGATGGAGCCCTGCGGGCAGCCACGCTTTACGTCCTTCCACACTGTGTCACACGCACCCATCATGCATACACGCCTGCCGCTAAAATAGCTCTTCCATAATTCAATTTCTTCACATTCAACCTCACGCAATTTCTCGATCACACATTCCCACTCTAAGTTATCAAACGCTCCTTTTAAGTCCACGAACACTCCTAACACATACTTTCTCTCCGACCCATTCACCCAGTCATGCACTCGATTCCATGCATCCTCGGTCGACCGATTCCTTACGAATCCGTACTGGGCGTCACACATTCTTCCACACATCGTTCGCTCGAGTCTTCCAACCATCATTCGCTCCAACACTTTCCCCAGCACGGACAGCAGTCAAATGGGCCTATAAGACCCAGGGTCCGACCTAGGTTTAATGGGGGACTTCAATAACACTACCACCCGCGCAGTTTTCCACGCCGGGGGGAAACACGCTGTATTCAGACATACATCATACATTCTTTTCATCCATACCGAGACAGCACGCCAAATCGCTCGCAACATCTCAGCACTCACACCATCCATACCAGGTGCCTTACCCACTTTCATCGATCTCACTGCCACATCCACCTCGCTCCATTCAAACTGCCTTTCTTCCTCCCTCACGTCTCCCCTGACGTCCATCGCCACGTTCGTCCTTGCTGCCGGGAAGAATCTCTTCATTAGCTCATCCACGCTTTCTTTCCATGTACTCGTCACTCTATCACCCACTTTTATGCCACTCAATCTTACCCTATCACGCTTTCCCATGCACACCTTATACACATCGCTCCATGGATCCCTGTTCCCAGTCACGCATACAGATAGCTTCCAATTCTCCTCTTTCACTCTTCGCATTTCTTCCTTATACTCCCGCAAAACATTCTTATATTCATTCATTCTTTCTTCCACTCTGCTTCCATTCCTCTTTCTCGCACGCTGGTAGGCACGTCTGCTCCTTCCTACAGTCTTCTTCAGCCTCTCAAGCTCATCCGTCCACCACACAAGCTTCCTAGCATACACCGGTTTACACCTCTTCATCTATCGATCATTCGCACTATGGATCCATTTCATCATTCGCTCTACACAGCTCTGCGCATCCGCTTCGTCTATGGCGCTCGCTGCATCCTCTAACGCACTCTCTCGCATATCACACATATACCCTTCCCAGTCTACGTCCTTGCACACCCATCTACACATGTCCTCATTCGTGTCCACATTCTCTCTGTGTACCATCCGTATTAGCAATACGTTATGGTCACTCACTCCCCAATCAGGCTTTACTTCCCACTCATACCGGCACCCTCCATTCACGCCGTTCACGAGAGTGACATCGATGTCACTCTCCCCATTCGGCCCGCTGAACGAGT